ATATATATATATATAAGAACAGAAAAAAGAACAGATATTTTCAGTTTCAGCAAAATGTGATACATCATCTCTTACAGATCCTTGGCTAAAGTTGATAGGTCTAACCACACAGTCAGAAATAGTGTAACAATTAATGTAAAATTTGTTTAAAGCATTTACAAATTCCCAGTTTTTGTTTGACATTGCTTTTATACGCCTCACATAGGGGTAGGAAGTAAGTGACTAGCTCACTTACATTTGAACTAAGATGAAAAATTTAAACAAGTGGTTCAGCAAATACATTTGTTTCATAGGAAAGACTTTTCAGATTATACAGCTGTGACGGATTTCTAATAAAATAAATACTTACTAATTTTTATCACATTTAAAAGCTCCAAAAAATTGTTGGAAATACCAATTCTTGAGAATGTCGTTGTTGAGCGAAAAAAGTAAACAATTTGATTAGACAAATATGTGATCAGTTTTTAAAGAGAAACTTAGACAGAATATTTCTGGTCTCTTTCTCACTCGCAGCTATTTTAAAAATTTTGAAATTCAAGGCCATAACTATATAGCTTGATAAACAATTTTAAACTTATGATTTCTAAGAGTTTAGATACTACTTTTTGATCTCTTGATTTCATCATTTAGAAAGCTGATTGCTGAAGAAAACTGTAAAGTTCGCTAGAAAACGCAAAAAATTCCCAAAGATCACTTCACGACACGATAGACTATATTAAACATAGGACAAATTAAATTTTTACCAGTCACAATTGGATGGTATCAAGGTTTAAGCCTTCAAGTTTTCCTCCAAAAGAATTGTAGAGTTTTTAAAATTGCAATACTCTATTTGGAAAAATTACCTATTTGTCTTTAGACTTTAGTCAAAAAACTGTATAAATTCCTGAGTCACATTTAATAATAAGCAGCATATAAACTTTATAAAAAAGGATTAGAAAACTAGTCTATTTAGAACCAGAATTTTTGAAAATGAAATTTGTAATGCGGAACGTTTTGGCTACTACGGCTGCATATTTTTGAGTGAAAAATCTATTGTATTGCGCTATATAAATAAGACCGTATAAATTTTCTTATTGGAAGCATCTTATATTAGCTCAGAAGAATCTTATTCTTTTTTCAGCTTTTTCGGCCATTACCCAAGTCTATTCTTTAGAGTACACTCTGAAATTTCTACCATCAGAAGACGGTTTTTCACATCTTGACTAGTTGAAAAATCTTCTCGATCCAAATCAATTCCTCTCAACTTTGAAAATTCTCTTCCAGCTTTAACAATTTAACAAACTGTTTGTTATAAAAAAGCCTCAACTTTTTGATTTTTTTCGTATTAATTTTTTCTTTTCTGGCAGGCTTTTGCTTATTTTTATTTTTCCTAATTTGGGCGATTAAGATGTCAGAAGCCAAGCGATGAATTTTGGCTCTCCGGTAAGTCAAGAAGTTAGCAGATTTTTTTCGGAAATAATCTACGCAACA